TAATATGGGGACCAACAAAAAAGGGCTATTCCTTACAGTTAGGTTCACTTAGTTATCCTCTTATCAACCGCTATTAAGTTTATAGAGTGTAGATAATTTAGGATACTGAAACTTTGCATGGATTGGTGAAACTCACATAATCCAACCAAGCATTCACATAGACGACTTGGTTCTTCTCGTCCACATCTATTATCTGTTGAAGGGACACCTAAAATAATGCTTACTTTATTACTGATACTCGGCAGTTCCTTCTATAGAAACTAATAACTTTAAACTTGAGTTTACAATGATTTTACTAATTTGTGTTTTAATCCTAAACTTTTAAGCTACACTGATTGAATTTCAGTGCCTTGCACTAAGCTGCTCTCTGCCACCTCCCACCTCCCCTAACAGTTGCTTTACGCCTTCTTTTTCGCGTCGAAGATGATGCATTACCCGTCACCCTTGATTAGCTGAAGCTTAGGTTTTGAACTAACCTTGAGATAAACGGTGACCGGCTTCGAATGGTTTGCTACTGGACGTTCCAAATTGTTGTAATCGCGCATTAGATCTTCGTAGAGTTTTCGCTCGTAATACGATGCTGTTGTGAAGTGTAGGGTGGATATCGTTAGAAGCGTACAGCAGAAAACCAGCGAACGCATCACATCCCATACTCTCTATTTCATCCAATTCTTCAAGTGCAAAGCTTTGATATCATTAAAAATATTAAAATGAGGTGTAGAACCTATCTTTAGTAGTGAAAACTGGACGGACGAAAAAGTGAATAAGGAATTAAGAAGTGCAAACAAAAAGATGGTAGATTTAATACGCAAGGTTTTTTTTCACTTTATAAGATTTTATAATACTTTTTTACTTTATATTCTTACCTTGCACTTCCATCTTTGAATCTTATTTATTTAATCGTTTCTTTTATTTGTTTACGAACAAAAGGGTATTATCCGCGTTAAAAATAAGACAACTTTACACAGTACTGGGTAGACTTCAAATTTATACCATAATGCAACCATAATAAAGTAATTAAAAGCAAAGAAGGGCTAAAGGTACATATCTCTCGCAGAAAGAAAGGATTTAAGGCAAAAAGACGTGGAGCGATAATAAATGGAGGATAGAGTTCTGAAAAGTAATTGAAATTTTGGAAAGAAGAACAGCCCGCCGAAAGGATGCAGCCAGTTTCAGAAAAAGACTGATTTATCACACGCTATCAATTTTAGTGACGCTTTATGAAGAAAACGCAAAGTTGCAAGTTTTCTAACCATTTATCAAAGTGGAAGATAAGGAAAATTGAAAAGCAAGAAATTAGGGCAATTTGCTAATTTGAATATATCATTGCCTGGTTGAAAACGGGATAAGAAATGTAATTGAGGAAGCGAAGGAGACTGCTGAAGTGAACACCTGCATAAGCGCTGTAGGTCATCAACTGTTTTATAGTTTTCGTTCTTTAGACAACAATCAGTCATCATAGCTAAGGCGAAAGCGGCGACTTCTAGGATTTGAACAAATGATGGCAGATTGATTGAGTTATTGGCGGGAAAGTCAGAGCAAATCGTTAATTTCAGCTACCTAAATCCTATTATTTAATCAATTAGTTAATACAGCTTTGAATGAAAAACGTCAGAGCACAAGGTGCCCTTACTCTATTTTGGTTTCTTTGGCTGAAGAGTGGCCAAAAAGGTTTGTGTTAAGATTATCGCCAATTTGTGTAGCACATTAATGCTGTGCGATGTTTTCTTATCGTAAGATACGGTAACTGCAACGTGGGCGGTCGCCTGTCCTCAAACTCCCTGCAAAGTTGTATAGCAAGGAATTTCCTGTGCTGAGAGCAAATTGTAAATCTATTCGATCTGATAATTCTTTCGCAAAGTTACTTGTTAGGTTGCAGAGCACTCCTCAGAACATTACCGGGGATTCAAAAACACAGTAGATCATTGTGAAACTCTGCGTACCGATAGCGCAGTAAATAATTTTTTAGAATTAGTTTCTACGAACTAATGAGTTTCTACAGTGCAGTTACCGTACTCTAAGATATGATATACCGTGTACCAGGAACATTACTCTTGCAGCGGCTCAACAACTTTTGGAACTTTTGGCCACATTAAACAGCTAAAATAGCTAAAATTATGTAAGAACTAGCTACTACGTGCTCTCATGATCCTCATCCAATGAATTACTTTCATTCGTTAATTATTCATTTCCGTTTACTTAATCAGTCAATCAATCAATCATTTATTCATTCGTTCTCATTCACATTCACTCATTATTGTTCATACAGCTAACTCCTGTTCCTTCAACATCTGTTGTTTATCAACTAAGTTTAAGCCGCCATATAATAAATTTACTTTTATTGCTACTTTTCATCTACAGCAATTTACAAAACTAAATTTTATAGGTAAGTTTAGTTTTTGGAAACTCTTTCGAACGACAACAACTCAGCAGAAAGATTTTTGAAATTAGTAGAAAATTAGAATGTACTGGAACTTGTCTGGA